AAATCATAGAATAACTGTACAGTCATTGGAAAACTTAATAATACGGGGAAACAATTGTGGTATATTAATTTTTAAATAATTTCAATAGAGTAATCGTCATTATTATTTCTAAAAGTTAGTATATTCATACAGAAGACTGGGAGTAAATTACACCAACATCTTAACAGCAATTACCCTCTATTGCTTTCTGCAATGATTTTGTTCTTCATAATGAGCACAGATTACTTTTATAATAAAAACAGAACACTTCTCCTTCCACACTATTGACCGCACAGCTCCTGTATCCCCTGCCAAGTCCTCTCTGTTGTGCTCTATTGCTCTTTTTTTTTTGGAATTGCTCTTGTCTAGCATAAAAGATTCCTCGCTTGGTTTTCCTAAGGAATGGATGTCCTGACAAAGTAGAAGAGGCTGCTAGCAATGAGACCCTCATCCCTCTGCTCAGTACTGCTTTCCATGTTTCTTAGGATGGGGAACATTACCTGGATCTCTAGCCTTCGCTTTACCTGGAGGTGATGCACATCTAAACACACATGGAAAGCACAGCAGCCAGTGAGGAAGTAAAAAATTAAAAGCAGTCCTTGCTCCAGAGACCTTCTGAGAAAACCTCTGGGCTACTTATAGAAGACACAATTGAGTCTATTTGCAGGGAGAAAGGCAGTTTCTGTTGTATATATAGAAGGGAAAGAAAGACCCACCATCACCTTCAAAGCTTCCTCCCTCCTCCAAGCACTAGAGAAAGAATACATATGGATGCAAAGCAGGACCCTGGCACCCGGGCTGCAGTCCACACCAAAAAGGAACCGGTATCCCTGAATTGTATCCCTGAATTGCTAACTTCCTGTGGGTCTTTTTCTCTGGTCTCTTTCCCTTTGAAATCACGCTACTCCTAATGTACAGCTTTCTCTCCCTTGCCGAACCGAGCCTTAATAAGGCTGCTCAGGTCCAAGGTAATCTTCCAAATACCTTTTTCAGTGATGGGTCCCAAGCCAGGCACCTCCACAGCCAAGGTGCCAAAAGGCTGCTCTTTTTCCACATTACACATCCCCATACTGAGTCTCAGTTCAAAATGTCTCAGCTTCCACAGCAGCTGATCTGTTGAGCCCTGGGAAAAAGGGTACTGAGATACAAAACTCAGTATCCTAACTATTCTAAGACATTAAGAAAGAACAGGTTCAGCCTGACTCCAACTTACAACCTCAGGGCGGTCCTAGGGATCTGAGGCTCCCTGGAGAAAGTCAAGCTGTTTAAAAATCAGAACGTAGAAGAAATGGATTCCAGAAAAGAGACAGCCACCAGACAATCTGAATAGCATGTGACTCAAAGGCCAACAGGGTAGCAATCTTACGATGCCACGATCACATGTCAGACCGCCCTAATTCTTACCCTTACTCACCCCCAAGCTTCCCTCACCTACCTTGGCTCACATCTGCTCTACGGTCCTCTCTCCATCCAGCAAGGCATTTCCTGCTCTCTGTAGCCCAGATGAAATTTCATCTCCTCTCCTTTAAAAGCCTCTCCAGACTGAGTCAGCAGATCTTCATGACCAAATAATGACACTTGCATCACAGGTCCACCCTCTCCACATGAGATGAGCAGATTTCAGGGGTTCAGCACTGGGGGAGGGGATACGCTCTGTGCTTCCAGAGGCAGATGATTTATGGCAGCTTTCTGCTCTGCACTGTTCTTACCCAGGGGGCAGGGGGAGAGTTCACTGCCATTCAAACTGTTCAGTGACTCACTCTGAGTTCCCACCCTGGCTACACACACTTGTATAAACCAGTGGGTGTTCACAAGGCAACCAAACTGTCGAACCACAACCCAAAGCTGAGAAAAACCTGAGCCCCCTCTTCCCTTTTCCTTCAAGACATCCCAGCTCAGAGAGAGAGAGAGTTCCAAAAGACTAGCTTCTCTAAGAAGCCACTAGCCACTTGTGAAGTCCTCTTCTGGAAACAGCTACCAACTGATCATGGTGGTGTCCCAGATACTCAGGAGGCTGAGATGGGAGGATCATCTGAGTCCAGGAGTTCAAGACCAGCCTGGGCAACATAACAAGATGCTGACTCAAGTGAACAAATGAACAAATGAATGAATGAATGAAAACAGTACCAGGATACCAAAGAGCAAACTGATAATTAGAACCTTCTGTGGTGGGTGGGGGGTCCCATGGAGACTGGGAAGGGGAATGAAAGCATTCTACCATATGCTGGTGACACCCTCCTTCAGCTTGGATAAGAGACACAACAGAGGGACCAGGAAACGCCAAAGCTCCTACACTGCCCGAGTCAGCTCCCAGACACAGGGCTTTGGTTCACAGGACTGATGGCTTCATTAACCCCTAACCTCAAGATGTTAGTTATCCTCCAGCTTCAGAAGGGGGACAAGAATGAAACTGAACATGCTAATCCTGCTCCAAGAACAACACTGAACACAGCAGAGACGGGTTTCCCCCACCCCGACCCCTGGGCAGATGGGAGACCATGGTGGGAATTTTGGCTCCTCCCAGGTCAAGTCAAGGGCTGCCAAGGCTAGATCTGGGAAGCAGCCATTCCTCCACCATGTGGCTACTGCTTCAAGAGGAAACAGCAAGTCCCCAAACCAGTCTATAAGCATTTGCAGACTCCAACTCCCCAACTCCAAAGAGTAGACTACTGGTGGAATTTGTGCTGTACATTGCATAGTGGGAAGGGGAGTTTTCACAAGCAAAACTCTAGTAGTCACACATGGGAGGCTATAGGTTTTTATATGCTTTACCTGTTGAGGGTATTCAAGTCCATATTGATGCCACAGAAGCCACTAGCTGAGTAGCCATTAGACACTAGGAAACAGATTTGAAGCTGTAGCATTAACCTGTCCACCAAGAGTGGAGGTGAGAGGTGGTGCTAACCAATACCACAGAAAACATAAAAATGCTTGAAGGCAAAGGAAGGTGAATGTGGTTGATGTACTTTATACACTTACATGAAATGGAACAATGAAATCTTTTGCAATCGTTTTAAGTGAGGGGTAGGGGATGAAGGAGAGAGATGGAGCAGAGGGGGTGAACCTAACCAAGGGATAGAAATGTCATAATTAATTCCCCCTGTAAGACTAATAAGGAATAATTTTTTTTAAAGTACAGTATAAAAAAACTTAAAAGCAGTCTACACTTCCTGTCTTTGATAACAACAGGTTCTACTTTGAACACCACCATGGTCCATATGAAAACCTCACATGACATCCTCAGCACAAGGCAAATGCACTATCTTGCTGAAGACTTGGGGGAGGCACCAACGTCTGAATTTAGAGTGTGAACCAGAAGAAATACTTTAGAAAACTGTTTGTATCCTCAATAGTATGCAGAACAGTCTGGACTCTATGAAAAAAGGCTTAGAAGGCCAACAGAATAAAACATATGGAAAAGAAAAACCAACAAGCTGGGGTGAAAAGAGAGCTCAGCAAAGTGAGAAGAATTGCAAAGAAATTAATACTGTAACATAAGAATTATATTTCACACTGGAGCTAGGAGTGGTGGCAAAGACCTATAATCCCAACTCTTAGGGAGTCAGAGGTAGGAGGATCGCAGTTTGAGGCCAGCCTGGGTAAAAAGCTAAAGGAATGGGGGCATGGCTTAAGCAGTAGAGCACTTGCTTAGCAAATGTGAGGACTTGAGTTCAATCCTCAGTACAATAAAAAATATAAATTCACACTGGAGATGTCAAAGAGCAAAATCAATCAAATTCAGTCTACTTGCACATCACCCACACACACCCCTCCCCATACTTTCATTCATTTTGAAATTACTTGTAACACCTGATGCAATGTAAACCCTATGTAAACAGATGTCATACTGCACTGTTTAGGAGAAAAGGTCTATCTGTCCACAACAGATGCAACTTTTTTCGGTGGGGTTTAAACTCAAAGCATTGCTCTTGCAAAGCAGGCTCTCTACACTTGAGCCACACCTCTAGTCCATTTTGCTCTGTCTATTTTGGAGATGGGGGTCTTGCGAACTAGTTATTTGGGCTGGCCTCAAACTGCAATCCTCCCAATCTCAGCCTTCTAAGTAGCTAGGATTAGAAGCATGGATCACTGGCACCAGGCTAAACAGATGCAATTTTTTAAAAAAATATTTTCAATGTGTTGTTGGTTGAACCTATGGATGTGGAACTTGCAGACACAGAAGGCTGACTAGATTGGTTTTACACAAATCTGAGTGAGAAAAAGCATTGTGTAGCTTGGATGTTGAAAGTACTAGTAGATAGCTCTTCAGGAAAGAACCATTCAAATCAGCCAAATGAGTAAAAAGAAAATGGCTCAGATTCAAAGAGACAGGGAAGAGTACCGCACAGTGCAACCGGCAATTTTGGTGCTGCTTTATGAGCATCCACGGAAAAAGGAGCCAGGAACAGGAAGGATACGAGGCCTTGAGGCAGGAGGTCATGGGACTGGAATGCTAGCAGCTGGGAATGTTACAGAGCAAAAAAGCAAGATACCCACAGCTGCTGTGGGGGCGGGCCAGGTAGAAACCCCTGAGGGTTTTAGCTCCAAATCCTGGCTATGTGCTTTCTGCTAAGGCGGCCTTTTAGCCGCAGGTAGCAAGGCACAGGTCAACTGAGGAGCACATAAATGAAGCAGTCAGAAGACAGGCTAACTGTCACTCTCCCTTGCCAAATGTCCCCTGAAGACCCCATGGAGAATCCTGCCCCTTCCCCACCCCCAAAACAAAGCGGCAGCCCAAGCCCATCATGGGACATGCGGCCTGCCATGTACACCACAGTCCTGTCTTGCAGCAACTGGACATGTCCCCAGGAAGAACATGCCAACCCCTGCTTAGCTGCAAGGTTGGCAAACTCAGCACAGCTGGCACAGCCAAGGAACAAAGAAGAAAGCATGAGACAGCGCTAGTCACTGAGCCCACAGGACACACGGATGTAAAGACACAGTGCCCATCTGTATGCAGATTTATGTAAGTGTAAACAAGACACTTCAGTGCAGAGTCCTTTAGACAGTAACAGAATGACAGAAAGTACACATTTCAGCAATAAAGAAGCGATTCGGAGCATGAGCTCTGGAGTCAGCGAGGCATTAGATCAAACCCCGTGGGCATCATGGACAAGCCACTTTCTGAGTGTCAGTTCCTGGATTCAAATGGAAATACTGTTAGTACTTCCCACACAGGCTTATTGGAAGGATTAGATGAGAGAATTCATGCTAAGTGTTTGCTACCATGCCGTGACTCACAGCAAACCTGACCATGCAGCTTAGCAGCAAAAGGAAGAAAAGCAGCCGGGCACACCTGTAATCCCAGCATTCTGGAGGCTTAAGGCAGGAGGATTGTGAATTTGAGGCCAGCCTGGCCTAGACAAGTCCAAAAAGTCTCAAAAAAAAAAGGGAATCCTGACTGTGTCACTATGTAATCTATGTAATCTTAGCCAAGTTACTTAGTATTTCTTGGCCCCACTACTTGATTTGAAATATGGATAATGGATTCCCTAGTTCATAGCATCATTTAAAAATAAGATCAAGTTATTTAAGACAATGTAAGACTGAAAACAGTAAACAGGTAATACTAACATATGATAAAGTTATTTTTTTAAAGAGCTATCTACTTTCTAAAATACTGATTTTTTTTAAAGACAAGATCTCACAATGTAGCCTAGGCTGACCTCGAACTTGCAATTCTCCTACCTCAGCCTCCCAAGTGCTAGGATTACCGGCATGTACTACCATGTCCTACAAAAATACTGACTTTCAAATTCTGTATTTCCACAGTGAATAAAATGCACGCATTAAAATGGGAGAGTGTTGTAAAAACTTGGATAAATCTTCAAGGAGTTATCCTAAGTGACAAAAAAAATCAGTCTAAGGGAGATCTACTGTATGAGTCCATCCACATAACATTCTTTGAATAATAAAATTAAAGGGATAAGGGACACATTATAATTGCAAGGGGTCAGGGATGGGGTGCAATGGGGAAGGTGGTGAGTGTGGACACAAAAGTACAACGGGTGAGCTCCTCGTGGTGACAAAAGTGTTCTGCTACATCCAACTATATCCATGTTGATAGCC